ACTATAGGTATAATTTCACGGAGAAGATGAAAAAAGTATCCTTGGCACTCTACATTGATACCTAAAACTTAAACATTAAACATTTTTCAAAAATCTACTTTATTTTTAATTGATGAAGACCAAACACTTATTTTACAATTACTTGATGAATTATATCAAAAACAGAAGGGACAAGAAAGAGTAAAACTGACATTTTCACAGGCATACAATACTATCACCCAGCCACACAAAAGATGTACAATATTTTCCTAATATGAGTATTATTTTTTCATATTAAAATACTAATCTTGCCAAAATATGACTCCTGACTTGCTTTGTAGAAAAATTCCTTTCAGAAGGCTAAGGAAGCAGGAGGGGATATACTGAACAGTTAAATGATCAACAAGTGTGAAAGCTGACATACTTGTAACAGGAATACAGGAGAAAGGGATGTCAACATAAGGGATTTCTCCTATCCAAGTCCTAACCAGGCCCAACACAGCTTAGTTTCCAAGATTAGACAAAATCAGGCACATCTGGGGTGATGGGGCCATAGACCACAAAGCATTTCTAACAGAAAGAAAGACAACAGTAGGTATAAATATAATTACCATAATTTTTAGGAAAGCACAGTTCAAAAAGGTAAAAAGAAATAAAAAAGGTATGACCTCTCATGGCTTAGGCATGAAACAGCTCGTAACTGATGGCTCCTTTTAAGTTCCATCTATATACCCATAAATAATTCCAACACAGAGAAAGAGTTAAGTATCCAGTGTAGCTACAGAGTAACTCTCTGCAGAGTAGTTAATGGGTTAAATTAGGACGAACATGGCAGAAGGGCTAAAGCACACAACTATAGTATTAGGAATTGGAAAGCTCAGGAAAAAACTGAGACTTGAAGAAACCTGCTTGAAGATAAAAGCTTTTATAGCTACTTTCACGTAAATGGTTATTATTCCATCTTACGTAATGCACAGCATTCGATCGTTTATATATGTTTCACATACTTTACCTTGTGACACCTCTTTGAAAGTTGACAGGGTAAATATCTCTTTTGTAGACAAGAAAATCGAAGCACGAGGTGGTAACGCAACTTGCCCAGCAGCTCGTGGCTATTAACAGGTGGAGCAGGAATTAGAAGCCGGGTGTCATACTCTCTTACTCAGTACTGTCTCCACCATAACACACTATTTCTCCAAGAGAACAAGGAACTAAGAATCACTGCCCAGAGGCTGGTGCTAAGGTTGAGAAATCACACAGAAAGACAGACTGCTCAACTTGTATTTTGCTTTATCTTCTCCAACAGTTTTAAATGAAAACTGCAGAAAGGCACTGACAACTGAAAGCTGAGCCTCATGACCAAGAGACTGTAACAACTTTATGTGAGTTTGCATCTCTGGGCACAGATGCAATCCATTCCACAGTACTAAAGCAATTTGCAAATGTAATCACAAAGCTGACTCCCATAATCTTGGAGAAAGAGCTCAAAAAGACAGATATAATCATGGCCCGGAGATCTGTAGAGCTGCTTCAAGTTCTGGGGGTTGGAGAAGCAGGAAAGCAAATTTCAGAAATTACAAATATAAAATAATGAAGTAAATGCTTTGTGAATAACTAGAGAAGAATATAACGATCACTAGATGTCAGCAGGAATTCAAACAATAATAATGCCTAGTCAACCACATTTACACCTGGGAAAATAATGATAATAGCTTACATTTACTAAGCTTTTACTATCCGCCAGAGACTGTTCTAAGCACTTTATGTATTACCTCATTTAATCCTCACAGCAACCCATTATATGGTTGAGAAAAGAGAGGTTCAGAGATTAAAGTACTTGCCCAAGACCACACAATTAGCAAATCCAGAAAAAAAAGATAGTTTATTCTGAAAAAAATAGTATCCAAGATGACTGTCCATGCTATCTTTGTAAGTGTGTTACCTGAAGGCGAGGAAGGCAGCAAATCACGCTGCCATATGTGTACCTATGCAACAGTCTTGCATGTTCTTCACATGTAACCCAAAACCTAAAATGCAATTAAAAAAAAAAAAGTGTGTTACCCGAGTGTGTGTTGGATGTTAGTGTAATATAGTTTGCTGCGCTATGTCAGCTCAGATGAGCAGTCTTTATGGAACTGCCTTGGAACACTGTCCTCAGCCTTATATTACTTTTCACTAATTATAAAACAATAAAGACAAAGAATATGCTCATAAAATCCTCCGGTTGAAGGAATCTGGGAGAAATAAACTAACATTAAAGTGAAACTTAAAGATAAGCGTAAAGCTTTGCATTTAGTTTCCCCAAAATGTGCAATCTGGAAATGGGGAAATGCTAACTTGGAAGCAGTTTATATGAGAGGTGTTCATCAATGCACAAGTTTAATACAAACCGCAAGTAGAATGGGTGACTAAAAGAGCTAATGCAAACCTAATGCCCTAGGCCACAGAGAACACATCGGCATCCATCTGTATACTTCTTATTACTTAGCCTACATCAATATTATGTCTATGGTCAACACTTTTAGAGCTACATTGATTAAAAAAAAAAAACACATACATATGAAGTTAAAAACAATGTCATGTGATAAAACTGTGCTTATCAAAACCAAATAGAATAAATGGTTTTCAAATACTTGAATAAGTGTTAGTAGGAGAATTGGTTTTATTCAGCATCACTGCAGAGGGCAGACATAAAATGAAGATGACAGCATTTCTTACTTAACCTTACAGGTTACAAGGATTGAGCTACAGGGTATATAAACTATCTGTAACAACACCTGGCTAACAGTAAGTGCTCGATAAGTTTTAGCAATTTTCATAGCAATTCATTGAAGGAATTGACAACTAAGCCTTTATGTTAACGCTAAACACATAAAATGAGATATGATACTTCATTAAACCCTTGCAATAATACTAGGAGATCTGTTTAACTCTATTTCCAGAAAAGAAAGCAGAATTTTAAAGTTGTTGTTGCTTGCCCATAACTATCGTTACAAAGTGATAAAAATGGGATTCAAACTAGTTTCCCTGACTCCAAAGCCCAAGTTCTTTCTTTTACTTTATTCCATATCCAGCAACCTAACAACGGAACAGGTTGTCTCATGAGGTGATGAACTCCATAACATATCTGACTGAATAGTTTTTAAAAGCTGAACTATCACAATAAAGTGGTAAAATATCTATCAATAATACTGTATGCAAGTTAACAATTTTTTTTTTTTTTTTTTTTTTTTTTGAGACAGACTAGCTCTGTTGCCTAGGCTGGAGTGCAGTGGCATGATCTTGACTGACTGCAACCTACGCCTCCTGGGTTCCAGCAATTCTCATGCCCCAGTTTCCTCAGCTGCTGGGGTTACAGGTGCACACCACCATACCTGGCTCATTTCTGTATTTTTAGAAGAGACAGGGTTTCATCATGTTGGTCAGGCTGGTCTTGAACTCCTGACCTCAAGTGATCCACTCACCTCAGCCTCCCAAAGTGCTGGGATTACAGGCATGAGCCACGGCACCCGGCCCAAGCTACTTCTATTTTGATGAATGTCTTCCCACTAAATATCATTTTATTATATCTAGTAATATTAGCCAAATATCAGTAAGTGTTCAATACAACTGACTATCAGAACTAATTATAGCTATTCATAATAAACACTACATATAAAAATAATTTTTAAGTCTCAGCATTAACACAAATAGAAGAAACCTAGGAGCTGTCAGATTTCTGCCCACTCATTCCATCTGTTTTCCTTCTCCTTGTTTGGTTTATGGACCCCATATTTATTCTGGAAGATTCAACAAGATGTGCAGTGCAAAATATTAAGACTAAATATTAAATTTAATAACTGTAACTTACATGAACCTTGACATGTTGCTTAATTTTATCTTTATGCTTCAATTAGAAAACTGAAACAACAGTACATCTTATTAATTTATAAACTATATACCAATTATATATGTTTCTAACAGGGGTACGAGGCTCTAAATAATATCACGTAGTTGGCAAGCATTTCTAATATGTTTATTTGGAACATGTCAAATATCCTTTTGGGGAGCTGTCACATATTCCATTCAAATGAGCTTACATAATCTGTCATCATTGTTAAATGGAATCAAAAGATAGGATACTAAAGGCATCGTGAGCCCAGTCTGCCCTATTATTACAGACAAGGTGAAACAAAGGCCCTGGAGGTGAGAGGACTTACTTGGGGATTATCTCATGGTAATATCACAAGTTTATCTACTTCCACTCCTCTCCTTCCCCTTCCCCCCATGCACCCATTCTGTCATTTTTAACACTCTAATTAGGAGAAGCTCTAACAGCAGTGTTTCCATTTAACAAATACTTAATTGAGTACTTATTATTTACCAGACTGTTAAGGGAGACAGTGGAGTTATACAGCAGTGACCAAAACAGACTCGGCCACTGCTCTCTCTGAAACTGCTCTCTCTGAAACTCGAAGTGTGATGTGAGACACAGACATAACATTCACATAAACAGCTGGGTAATTATAAACTACAAGAAGTGATATGGCAGAGTATACTAAGGGGACACAATTCCAGCTGGGATCTCAGGAAAGGTACCTTTAAGGAAATATTTAAGCTGAGATCTCTGGATAAACAAGAGTCAGCAAAGCAGAGACAGAAAAAAAGGATTCCAGGAAGGCAAAACACATCTAGTTATTAAATTCTTCAAGAAGAAGCTCATTATTTAGTGTAGCCAGCATTCTTTTTGTACAATACTTAGCAAAGGATAAAGAGATAAAATGCTTTTTCCATTTGGAATAACAATATTTATTTTAACATGATTTCCTACCAGTAAAGAGTCTTCCAGATGCAACTCAGCTAATGACGTGGAAGGTTGTGTCCATGCCTCTTGACATGTATTAAATACAAGTCTTCTTTTATCATGTGAAAGTATGTGGCCTTTTCAGTGCAATTCTGACCAGTGTCCTAAAGTCCATGTCCATGTTGTGACACAGGTTTGACTTTGCTTAATAATTCTTTTCTAGCTTTTATATTGTACGTTGTATTAAAAAACTCAAGTATCTATGTTGCCGGTTTTTAAAAAAATCGTATTTTGTAGCAATCCTGACAGTGATTTACATATTTTCAATAATACCTATTACTTTAGATTAGCATACTTTTCCTCCTAAGAGCTCAGCATTTGCTAAACTGTTTGCTCTAAAATTCTGCTTATCTGGAGAAGTGGCAGTTACATCTCAGTCCTTCCACTGTCAGAGTACTGAGAGAGCACACATGTCTGCTCTGCTCAGGAACTAAAAAGTTCATCCAGTAATAAGATTACAGACTGCCAGTCTAGCAATGCAGTATCAATCTATGTTGAGCTTGACAGATGTTCATCTTTGCACCAGTAGTAGCTACGAAATCTGACTGGCTAATAGCCAATAAGCAATTTCTCACATACTGCCACAATAAACTAACCACAGAAGTGGAAAAAACTTTTTTCCTACATTAAAATTAAAATATCTCATAAACACATTATCTCCAAGTTTTTCCAGAGACGGCTACTCAAAGAGGTGCATATACGTAACAAGTTCGATTTGAATTACATAATCAGTGAGACACAAAGTACAGTCATCACAGGAGACTGTGAATTGAATAACAAACATTATATCAAATTACAATTTGTACTAGCAAATAATTTCCCTATCAAGTTCTTTACAGTAGTTTCTTTTAAAAATGAACAATTAACTCCACTATAGTATTTTCAACTTTAGAAAGTCTTTTAAAAAATAAGAACAAAATGTCCCTTAAGAAAACTGCACTTAAATGACCACCTATTCATTTTTTCCTGTATGTGGTGTTTTGAATTCGCAGATAATTTTTAAAATGTAATATCAAAAAGCTTGATTAAGCTCTTTGTGTGTGGGGGGCAGTGTTTAAATCCACTAACAGAAATTTCTATTTTAAAGTGACCATCCGATGAAACTGAAAGCTTAAAATTTTCTCTAACTAAAAGACCATTATCTAGGATGCTTAAAAAATTAGTTTTAAGATACACATCAGTCAGCATTCTTGAAATGTGAAATGCTCTATACTAAATTACAGAACCTGAGTCATCCTGAAATGTGAAATGCCATATACTAAATTATGGAACCGGTGATGGAACCTGGCTTGTCAAAGGAGTACTCCAAGCTCATGTGCTCAGGCCCATCACATCTGTATTACCACCTACTGAAGCAAAACCCTCCACCGTTTCTGCGTGACACGTTTCAACTCCTACTTTTAGAAAACCTTCTACTTCTTGGCTGAATGTCCATGCTTGATATCAACGTGGAATCTAACAGGGAAGGAGGCAAGCGTTCGTTGATAGAGGAAAAACTGGCCTAGATTTCAATCGGGGGAACTTTATGGAAGCCTTCTGCAGCAAAGCTAAGAAAATCAAAATCGCTAAAAAGAACCAAAACATTAAGTAGAAGGTTAAAAAAAAAAGTTTCAGAGGAATAAAATAACATTTTCTAGGGTACAAATTAAGGCATTTAAAAGTTCTTGCTCCATTTGTGGCTAGGTCTCATAAAGGCTGTGTCGAACCAAGGAGTAGTTCAGGGTGTAACTTATCCTTCCTAATCAAAGATGACACCGATAGTCTTATTTCCTGTGGGGATGGGTGTGGTTGAAGACACAGTTATGTCCATGCCATCAATCTGTGTGTGGAAAAGTCTGCAGGTCGCCCGCACACACTTGTAGCCTGAATTATCTGTGTGCCTGCAGACGGCAAGGCCTATGCCTCTGACTGCGATGACGTGAAATAAAATATCCAACCTGCAATCCAGTAGTATATGTGGTTACTTTCACTGCTCAAAGAAACAGTCGCACTCCTCAGTGTTTCATCTTAAGAAAAACCTCCCGGGAGGAAGCAACTCCGAGCAACGCTGCAATTCGCAAATCCACATGCAGTCGGGATACTGGGGCGGGGGGCTTACATTCTCCAAGCACCATTTACTCACCCCTGAGACGATCACAACGCCAAGTGAGGAAATGAAACGAAAAAGCTCGTCCAAAATTTATCACTGCGAACGCCGCGGATCTGGCTTCGGGAACTAGTTTGGGAAACTCGGGAACCGATCGCCTCCGAGGGTCAGGGCGCGGTGGTCGCCGGAGGGGTGCGAACCCAAGCTGGCCGCCGCGCGGACGCCGGAACTTGGCCCCCTTTGGTGGCTGCGCCGGCGCCCCCCGCTCCCCCTTGGCCGCCCACCTCCCGCCGCGCGCACCCCCAACTTCCCGCCCAGCGCTGAGGACGCCGCCCAGCCGGGCGCGGGGTCCGAGTCCCAACGCCGCTGCCGCGTGCCGGTGGGTGGGGGAGGGGCCGCCGCTGCCACAGCCCGACGGGCTGGGAGAACAAAGCGGCGGCGGCGGCGCGAACTTTTTCGGTGTCTGTTCAGCGCTCCCCGAGGCGACTACTTACAGTGGCGGGCTCGACCCGTCGTGAGAAACTCCGCGCTCGCCAGCGTCTGAGTCCCGGACTAGGCGCCAGCGAGGCTTCACGCGCCCCGCAAGATCCCGCCCGCCGCCGGCGCCCCTTCCTCCCTCCCTCCCCGTCCCGTCCTGAGGCAGGAGGGCGGGGGGCCGGGGCGCGTGGGGGGCGGGGGCGCGCGCGGGGCGGGGGCGCGCGGCCGGCGCGGGGCCTGCCGGGAGCTGTAGTTCCCCGGCTTGCACCCGCCGGGTGGTGGCCGCGGCGGGAGGTTGCAGCTGTCTCTGCCCCGCGAGGGGGCCGCGGGAGCGCCGGGTGCAGTCGAGCTGGCTTCACGACGTCGAGCTCCGGGCGTCTCCCTGAGCGCGGGGACACGGGCAGGGGCGCTGCTGGAGACGCGAGCGTGTCTATCAGTTACAAGCGGTACTTGATCCCCGCCGTTGCCGACGGTGCTGTCTTTTCCTCTACTGCCGAGCGCTCTTGAGGGAGGCGGTGGCGACAGGAGCCAGAGGTAACAGTTGGAACAGAGGACGTGTAAGGTGTCCAGAGCAGACAGCGGCTTCCAGCCTGAGATGTCGCAGCCCTCCCGCATGCTCCTCCCTGCTGCCTGCCCCCGGGGTGGCCGCCCGCACCGCAGCTCCGCGCCCAGTGCGGCACCTCTCGAGCCCGACGCTCCGGTGACTGCAGGGGCTTTCCAGGGGCTTAGTGTTTCCTCCCCGTCGGCCTTTAAACGCGAGTGTGACCCTGCCACCAAAGTGGAGTGCAGTGCAGAATCTCCAAACCTCGGCTTCCACGTCTCTGGAAACCCAATGTTCCCATTTGTTTTGCTCCAAAACAAAGTGTGACCCTGTCGGGTGAGGGGGGCGGGGGTGAGAATCAGCAGCATAAAGATCTAGGGGGAAAATACACCGTGCATAAATTTTCGATGTCTTATATGAGACAAAGGCCTGAGAAGCTGACAGCCATTGTCACAGAAGCCACATGGTTCTCCTTATGTCAACGTTTTATCCCAAAAGTACTTAAAGAAACAATCAGAAGGGCTGCAATCAAGCGGGCAGTTTTCTTTCTTCTTTTTCCTTTTTCCCTTTCTCTCTAGAGAAGGCTTCACTCTGTCATCCAGGCTGAAGTGCAGTGACACGATCATAGCTCACTGCAGCCTGGAACTGCTGGGCTCAAGCGATTCTCCTGGCTGAGCCTCCCAAGTAGCTGGGACTACAGGCGTGCACCACCACGCCCCACTAACTTTCTAAAAGTTTTTGTAGAGACGAGGTCTCTTGCTCTGTTGCTCAGGTTGGTCTCCTGACCTCCAGAGATCTGCCCGTCTCAGCTCCCCCAAAGCACTGGTATTACAGTCGTGAGCCACCATGCCCAGCCAAGAGGGCGTTTTCAAGAACAGAAAGAAAATAAACGTAAACGAGTTCCTACTTTTTATACAAAATCGTCACTCTTAATGGATGTCCTTGGCTTTAAAGTTAGGAAATGGCGGGCGCGGTGGCTCACGCCTGTAATCTCAGCACTTTGGGAGGCTGAGGCGGACAGATGGCCTGAGTTGAGGAGTTTGAGACCTGCCTGGCCAACATAGTGAAACCCGATCTCTACTAAAAATACAAAAATTAGCGGGACGCGGTGGGCGGTGCCTGTAGTCCCATCTATCTCGGGAGGCTGAGGCAGGAGAATCTCTTGAACCTGGGAGGCGGAGATTGCAGTGAGCCCAGATGGCTCCATTGCACTCCAGCCTAGGCGAAAAGAGGGAGATTCCGTCTAAAAAAAAAAAAAAAAAACCCTAAATAAGAAATGAAAATATTAAAATAATTTGTATTAACTATAAGGCAGGTAAGATTGTGTAAAACCTTGATTACTTAAAGCTATTTTTTCAAAGACATTTCTGTCTCAGGATTGGAAGTTGCTAAATGTCTTACATCCAGCAGTATCGAATTCAATCTTACTACATTTTTGTTATTAAAGTCCTATTCAGCTATTCTTTTACTTTAAAATTGAAAGTAGATGCAATCAAGTTTACCTTCTTTTTAAAGAACTCTCTTGCTTAACTGCCTTTTTCTTTCTTCCACTTCCCAACGGACGTTTTAGTCCAGCCCCAAATTTCGCCTCTCAGCAAGATTCCCAGGACCTCATTGGAGCAGTGTACAGCCAGTCTTATCTCACTATTAACTTCCATTTTCTGTTGTAGTCCTTAAAGAGACAGAAGTTACTCTTCCTAGAAGTAACTTTTCCAGACAAATCAAACTGCTGTCATACAGAAATTAAAATATTTGTGTGCAAGTGTGAAAATAAAGATATATAATGTATATATTTCATTTTATTGCCACTGTTCTGCTTCTCTTTTTAAAAATCAAATGGTCTCCTCCACTTTAGATAAATCTTGCAGCATCTTTGAGCAAAGAACTATCTTTGTATCTAATTTTTTTTGCTTAACGTGAACTATAGTTTCCTCAAGATGTTCCATTTCTGTTCTAAGAGCATTACAGAGATAAAGATTGGATTTAATAAGTAAGTGTATTATCATGTGAAATGTTTTAATCCTTGAGAGAAAATATCTGAATGCTCAAAATGGAAAGGATTTTTCTTCTTGGTGGTGTTTCATGAAATGACCTTAATATTTTGCTCTTCTATGGCTGCAGTTCCAGGTCTTGTCCCGCGTTAATGGGCTCCTTGGACTTAATGACACCCACATATCCATTCAAATACGTTATCTAATACAAGCAAAGAAAGTCAACACTCTTGTGACTTGAGATAACCAAAGCATCTGACTTAGAAACCTAAATGCAGAGGGGAAAATGATCTGCCCGCGGCAAGCTCCCAGAGTGCTGGAATTACAGGCATGAGCCACTGTGCTCCTCCATTATTTTTATCTATTCACCATTTAGCACAGTACTCAATAAATGTTGATGAAATCAGTGAATTTTTTCGATGTATCTCAATGATAGTAGTTAGGCTAATAGTCCTAAAGTACCACGTGATAAACTCTGCAATTGTTCCCTATCACCTGCCTTACCATGTCCAAATTCTTCTGTTTGTGTATAAAGGTTGTTAATAATATCTATTGTTTATTGAACACCAACTCTGGGCCAGGCATATTCATTTGTTTTTATGAAACTTTCTCTATTTATTCCATATAACTCTTCCCTTTTCTTTATTTGCACATATATATATATATATATATACACACACACAGATACATATTTACAGATAGCATACAAGAAACATGATGATATGAAATTGATGGGACTTGGTCACCAATTAGATATGGAGAACAAGGGAATGGAGTTTAGGCTGACCAAGTAGCTTGTGTCTTGAATGACTAAATGGATGGTAGTACTATGCACTAAGACTGGAAATACAGGAAATATACATGCAGATATATGAACATAGTAATATAACTAAGTATAAAATTGTATAAAGCTAAATATATATATTTACAACATAGTATATAATCAAAAAGAGGTGTGATAGGATGGCTTCACTAAAAAGATTAAGAAAACCTGGCAACTAAAGGGAGTGGTTACTGCATATGTTCCACCTATGATTTCATATGCAGTTCTTAAAAGTACATATTCAGACCAAGTGTGGTGGCTTACTCCTGTAATCCCAGCACTTTGGGAGGCCAAGATGGGCAGATCACTTGAGGTCAGGAGTTTGAGACTGGCCTGGCCAACATGGCAAACCCTGTCTGTACTAAAAATACAAAAAAGAAAAAAAAAAAAGATTAGGTTTCTACTAAAAATACAAAAAATTAGCTGGGCGTGATGGCAGGTGCCTGTAATTGCAGCTACTCAGGAGGCTAAGGCAGGAGAATTGCTTGAACCTGGGAGGTGGAGGTTGCAGTGAGCAGAGATCGTGCCATTCCACTCCAGCCTGAGCAAGACACTATCTCAAAAAAAAAAAAAAAAATTAGCTGGATGCGGTAGCATGCACCTGTAGTCCCAGCTACTCAGGAGGATGAGACAGGAGAATACCTTGAATCCCGGAGGCGGAGGTTGCAGTAAGCCGAGATGCCACCACTGCTCTCCAGCCTGGCGACAGAACGAGACTCTTTCACCAACAACAACAACAGCCACCTCTTAAAATACTGTAAATTGGTTATAATATATTTAAAAAGCCAACTGAGGAAGAGAACAAAGGTGCTACAGGTCTGAATAGAAAGTCAATGTTAAAGTTAATTACCTAGCCAGGTGTGGTAGCTCACACCTGGAATCCCGGCACTTTGGGAGGCTGAGGTGGACGAATTGCTTGAGCCCGGGGGTCTTGAGCCTAGGAGTTCAAGATCAGGCTGGCCAACGGTGAAACCCCATCTATATTAAAAATACAAAAATTAGCCAGGTGTGGTGGCACGCGCCTGTAAATCCCAGCTACTCAGGAGGCTGAGGCAGGAGAATCGCTTGAATCGGAGAGGTGAAGGTTGCAGTGAGCTGGGATTGTGCCTCTACACTCCAGCCTGGGCAACAGAGGAAGACTCCGCCTCAAAATCATCCTACCAGGACTGACTGAAACAGAGGAGTTGGGACTCTCTTCCTGGAGCGTGGAAACTACCCAGCCCAGAGGAACCAGTTAGAAGAAAAGGGTTGGGATGGGATTTCAAAGACAGAGTACAATCTGGGCTCTGCCATTTAGTAGTTTCAAGCTACTTAATGTCAGTAGGAATCAATTCCCTTTTATGTAAAATGAGGGAAATAATTACCTCACAGTGTTGTTGTGAGAAATAAATAAAAAAACATGTAATGTATTATGCACATGTCATCTGTCTTGTTATACACCGGGATTCCACCATTTAACAAGCTGTGTGACCAGGGGCAAATTAGCCTCTATGTGCTTCAGTCTCTTCATCATCAGTTAACTGGTATGATAATAATTCTTCCTCAATAACTATTCTAGGATTAAATGAGATAATACATGAAAAACACTTTTTTTTTTAAAAAAGTCTGGCACACAGAGAATTGTCAATAAGGGTTAACTATTAATATTGTTATTCATGCTAAAGATTAGAGCTTTTCACATCTCTATATCTCCTCCTGTCCTTTGGCAGCACAGAGAATTCTATGGAGGGAAATTTAGAAAGATAATAACAAACTGAAAAGAAACAGGAACCTCTATGATCATAGAACGAGTTCCTTTTTAGATCATCAAAGAAAGATCTTACTGCACAGGT